TCCCACATAAAGTGGAGGAAGATTGGCACGGATGTTAGCTCAGGGCCAGTCTTCCTCAGCAAAAAGAGGAGGATTGGCATGGATGTTAGCTCAGGGCTGATCTTCCACACACACACACAAAAAAAAGAACAGGCATAATGACTGAAAAGATAAAATAGAGCAATGTACATCAACATGATATTTTAGAACATCATGGGTAATGACTGTATCCTAAAAGTTTCCAGAATGGAGGGAAAAATCGAGTCAGAAGTTGGGATGTCCTCTGATTTCTCAATAGCTATACTGGAAGTAATAAGACAATGAGAAATTCCTTTAAAATGAAAGAGAAAATTATTTTTAACCCAGCCTTCTAAACCCAGCCAAACTGTCAATCAGGTGTGAAAATGAAGACAGTTTCAAATACGCTAGGACCCAAAATTTTGCTCTCTATACATCATTTCTCAGGCAGTTCCTCAAGGATGGGCTCTAGTAAAATGAAAAATCAAGAAAAAGGAAAGCATGGATTCAAGAACCAGAGAAAGTCACAAAGCGAGTCTGCAGATGTGAGAGCATCTGGTGCATTTAAAGTGTAGCAGACACTGTCCAGTGTCCTGTCATGTCACTAGGGCCCTACCACTTCAGCACAGTCTGGACAACTTCCAACTGCCAGTTCTGCTACCTTTTGCCCAGACTTTCTCCAGAACCATTTAAAGCTACTCCAATATTCACTTAGTAGGACAAATGGGAGGTAATTAACACCTCCAGAAGCAGATCTCAATTAACAGTTGTTGTGTTAATACCCCAGCTCCCTCGCCTTAGGTGATCACTCTGAGTGATCTTTACCAGTTTCCACTGGGATTAGGCTCTGGTCATCCTAACTGGCTAGATAATATATCCCTTACTGGCTGCCTTCCCTTCCCTGTCTCACTGCCCTACTCAATCCCGGTGTCTCCTGCATCTCCCAAACAAACTACTGACACTTTAATTCTTGTTTCAAGGTCTGCTTCTGGTGGAACCCCAACTAAAACCAAGTGGGAAGGTAGAGGGCTTTGGCAGAAAGGCCCACGAGGACAAGAGCGGAGTTAATAAGTATTTGATGTCTCTGAACGTTGGAACGATTTGAGTAGACTGAAAAATCTCTTGGAGTATTTAAGAGGAATTGGAAATAGAAACATAGAAAACTAAGGAAGCGAGCAAACAGCAGCACTAAAAAGGGCACTACCAACACCAAAATAAAATGAAAGAAAGCTGTAAGGAAAGGCAACATGCTCACAGAACACTACTGGGTTTACTGGTCATAACATGTAAAAGTTATCACTGTTTTAATAATAACTATTGTTTGTGCAATAACTACTTTGGAAGAAAGAGGGAGGAAAAGCAGATGAGTAAATTAGACGATAATTGAATCTTTCTTTGTACTCAATAGATAAATGGATAATCCATGGAAAAAGAAGAAAAAAATATGTTATCTAAAAATATGGAGATAAATACCAGGAAAAAAATGCTACAAGAGATGACAGTGGTTCTCTGGGACTAAAGAAAAGGAACTTTGCAGATCCAAATAGTACACTAGTTTGTTAAATGTACATATAATTTAAATTAATTTTAAATAAAGTTAATAGGTCAAGAAATAGTTGCACTTGTAATATGGTTTATAGTTTATAGAGCTATGTACAAAAATTAAAATTTCAAATGTGAAATTTAAATTTAAAGTGTTAAGAGAGAGAGTAGTGGAGTCGAGCTATTTATAACCACCTTTATTGTTTCCATATTTGTTTGCATATACATGAATTTATTTTAGATAATTTTTGAAAGGCATTTAAATAAGAGAATAAATTAAAGAATGAAGGAATAATTCATATCGGTGTGAAGATAAGTCTCTGCGCTGCTACTTAATACTCACAGAGGATGGTAAGGAAGGAAACAGGAAGGACTGACATTTAAAAGCCTCAGCCATTCCTTCTGTATAGCTAAAGAATGCAGCTTGAGGTAGATAATTCTTTATCTGAGCACATTAATAATATGAAAATATAGGGCCGGCCCCGTGGCTTAGCGGTTAGGTGCGCGCGCTCTGCTGCTGGCAGCCGGGGTTCGGATCCCGAGCGCACACTGAGACACTGCTTCTCCCCCCATGCTGAGGCCACGTCCCACATACAGCAACTAGAAGGATGTGCAGCTATGGCATACAGCTATCTACTGGGGCTTTGGGGGGGAAAAAAATAAATAAAATCTTTAAAAAAAAAAATGAAAATATAAGCTATTCAATTCTAATCCACTAGTAAAATGCTGTGGAAGGTGACTTTTCAGATAGTGGGAATCTTAATTTCATTTCTGAAAATGGGAAAAATTATTCTTTCCCAGCGCATCCCAATATCCAAACCAATTTCTCAGTATTCATAAAACATTCTTAAACACAGCTACAAAAATCTACCAAGGATGTCTATGTATGTAATGCATTTAAAACATCTACTATTTAATTATCTAATAATTAGTGAACTCCTTACTGAGTATAATTGCATACAGTATACAATGATACTATACAGTATCAAATTCAAATTGGTTTTTATTCTATTCTAAAGAAAACATGTACTATAGTAAAAAAAACAATAAAATATCATGATATAAATAATAAAATAGAAAATTAATTCAACTAGCATGTAACAAAATAAAATAAACAAGCAAAGTCATGTTTTAAAATTATTACGCAATGAATGAAGACTATTCTGAGTGAGGTTTGGTGGCAAGGGAGGGAGATGAGGGTGCGTAGTCACTCTTGCTGGTGGGAGAAGGTAAGTGAGAACTCCTAAGAGCCAGTGAGTGAAACAGAAATTGCCAGATATTCATCCACATGCAACCCCAAGGAACTGGTCAACGTCCTCTCCTCCAGGCGCGTTGGTGTTGGGAGTAGATGGAGAACCACCGCAGGAGACACAGACATAAACACAACGGGCACCTGTTTGGGTTTCCTTTGCTTATGATTACACAGCTCCTGCTAACATCAGACAATGCTGGCAAATCATTTTTTTTGAAATGAAACATCTGACCCCCTTCTTCATAAGGCAATGGCAATTATTTTTCCATATGTTCTAAAACATATTTTAAATTTTTCTTATAAGATATCCAGGTTCCTTTCCTTCCTCTCACTCAAACCCTCAATGAGCATCAGGATGAACAAGTTCCTCTCTTGTAAATCCTTCTAATATGGCTTTCCTAAGCCTCCCCGCATTCCAGACGGTATCTTCCACTTCCTCAGATCATATTTTTCGTGAATAATGTGGAGATGGTAGTTATAATACACAAGACATTTAAACAGTGAGAGCAGATGGCGATGCAATCCTAGTCACAGAATGTTGAGGCACCACTGGGGCTTGTGCTGCATCCTCATACTCCGAACCAAAAAGGGGAGCATCGGTATTTGTGATAGTGGACTGTTGACTTCTTGGTGAATTTCAGTTGTTTTCTAGGCAGTAGTAGAAAATATTTGATTTGTGAGAATTCAGATAGTAAGAGATACCAGAATAGGAACAGAGCCCAATGGGAGATGGAAAACTAAACAGCTCACTCTAAAAAAATGAGGGGAATTGCGTTAGGGGCAGCAAAAAGCAAACTGTTGCTGGGGTCTGATAAAGGGACGTGAGAGATTCGAGTAGGGAAAGAGTGATAGACTAGAACAGTGTGTCAACAGAGAGCCACAGAGAAAAGGCAACTGCAGAAGAGGCCATGTGTGCTCTGCCCATATCTCTGCCCCGGAGGTTACCGCAAGCAGCCCCATAGTGCATTGGCTACCAGTGTCTCTGCCTGAGGGTGATCCCAGCCCTCAGGAGCCTGCTCAGCTGGCCCGCAGTGTGAGTCAGATGTGCTTGGGAGTCAATGCTGCTGGAGCGAGTCTTCATCAACGAGAGGAGGGATTGGTAGATAAATACCCCAGGTCCTTGTCCTGGGAAGGACAAGTCCAAATTGTGTTCCATGTACTCTCAGAGGGTGGTCAGCATGATTGAGTGTCTGTTAGCAACAGCAATGACCTCCTTGATAATATTCCCTATTTAGTCACTCCTCCCTTTCCCATCTTACTATCCTACCCAGTCATAGTGCTTTCTGGGACCACCTCCCAAGGAAACTAGTTACCCACAAATCTTTGTCTCAGGAGAAACCCAAAATAAACATCAACCAAAAGGAACTCCTAGAGCAGGAGCAGGCAAATGGCTTTTAAGACCATAGATAGATATCTTTTGTGTTAAGTAGGTTTCTCTAACAGTTCAAGCCCCTCTGTTATATCTACAGTTCAGTGAAAGCCTGCTATACACCATTGCTTCATTAGAGGATGTTTGGACAAATTAAATGAAAGAGGCCAATATTCCCCATAGGGTTCTGTGCACAAAAGAGAGATGAGACAACCAAAGGAGCTGAGATATGAGTGAGAGAGAGATTTCAGAGGGTGCAAGAGTTGGAGGAAGTGATGAGTGGAAGGAATAAAAGCCTCCAGAATATCCCGAGATGTAAATGTGAGTGATATCGGGTTTCTCCTTATGTGTGGGATAGTTGCTTGAGCCATTTTACTTTGTTATTGAGGAAAATGAGGACCAAATCAGATGGAGGACTTGGGATGCACACGTGGCTGCTGTGTGGGCTTCACGTTCATCAGTCTTTCAGAGTTCAGTCTGGCAGGATGGAACAAGGGGGTCAGACACAAACATAAATCCCCTTCCTGTAAGGCAAAAGTCAAGAGGTAGCAGTAGTGAGGCGGAGGCCCAGCGCATGGGAGTTTAGAAAAGGGCCCAACTCCCTTCAAACGGGAGGAAATGGACAAGGCTTTCAGGGTGTGATGACATTTAATCCAAATACTGAGGATCAGAGTGATTTGCACATGTGGAGTAAAGGCAATCCAGGGCAATGTATCGGTGAAAACCCAAATCCATATTTCCAAGTACGGACTAGAGTAAAATAAATGTATTAACTTTATGTAATGGGTTTGTTTAGGGACCTCATTTCATGGAGTCCTAATGACCACGAAGACAAAACAGTTTTTGATATGTAAATTTTTTAATTGAAAAATATGTGCACTTTGTGTCCAGGAAAGCAAAAGCATGAGCCACACAGATGATCGATAATTCTACAATCTCAAAGCATAAACATTAACCAATTATCCTTTCTAGATATTTATTACCAGGAATGATGGCGCAAAAGAGATGGCAAAGTTGATAAACTGAAGGGATCCATGTTGTATTGAAGGCGGCAAGGCACGTTCTGCTCCCTCTTTTGGGAAAAATTACAGTGGCGACTTCAGAGTGAATTTCTCTTCCTTGCCTAACTGTTGTTGTAGTAGTTCAATCTCCAGATACAGCTTATACAGCTCCAGGGCCATTTTCACGTCCTCCGGGCTTGGGAGACACTTCATGAGTTTTCTGCCTATGACCACTTGCTCACAGCCTTCAGGGACCTCCTAAAAGAGACACAGGTGGTGAGTGTGGTTGAGTGGCTTCTCCCTAAACTGTGAAGCAGAGTGGGGGGTGCATTCTGACAATGGCAGGACCACAGGATCAGAACCAAGACCAACCCCAGGACTGGTGGGTGAGTGGGAAAAGCAGAAAACACTTTGGGGCCCACCATAGTCTTCCCCAGAGGGATATAGATCTGTTCTGAGACAGCTTCCCAGAAGGCCTCTATGGGGACAGAGGCTATTTCTGCTGACCATCCAGAAACAGAACACAGTACACTGTATAGTTTAGAAGAAGCAAAGTTCTGAGTCAGTACTCCCAGGTCTCTGAGACTCTCCTCACCCTAAGGCGCTCAGTTTTTCCTGTTCTCAAGTGAGAGCCAGAAAACTCACCGCTCCTGACTCCCCAGAGCGCTTCAAGTCAAAAAAGAGAGTTCCTCTGAATGCCACAGAAATGAACCCTGACAAGTCAGATCTCACCGTTGCTGGCGGGGACAGTGCTTTGGGGGAGGCACCATTTTTAGGGTCTGATAGCACAGGAACTTCCTTGAATTGTGCCACTTACCCACTCACACTTGGGTACCTCGGGGTACCAGGTTCTGTCCTCTGAGCAAGTGATACTTTGGGGACCAACCAAACCATAGCCAGAGTCACACTGGACGGTGACATTTTCAGGTGTAATATACTGATCCTTAACCACAAGGAGCTGTCCATGCTCTATCCGCGGTTTTAGACACAGAGCTACGATGGAAACACAATTTTAAGTAATCTGCAAATCTAAGAAAAAAGACATGACGACAGGCTAGGATTATAAGAATGAACTATAGTAGATGTTGCTAATCGTTTTATCTTTTTTTTTCATTTTGATAACAATAATATTAGTTAACATTTTTATTGAGCCTTGGCTACACATCAGATTTGAATTGAGCATTTTCTGTAACCATCTCATTTAAGTCTCATTCAGCTCTATAAAGTGAGTACTGTTGTTATTTCCGTTTTATCTAGGAGAAAGTAGAGATACAGACAGGTTAAGAAACTTGTCCAAGGTCACGGTCATAATGTTTCTAAATAAACATGACAGGATATAAAAAGGGCATGTGACCCCAGATTCTCAGCTAACAAAGCAAATATCCCTCGTATCTTGATGCCTGCAAGACACTGGGTATGAACTTTTCCCTCTTGCCTATCATCCTCCTGTGTGCAATGGAGACAATGGTGTCAAATCATCCCTGGAGTTGTTGAGGGCAAGGTGATATTAAACCTGTGTGTATATAAAAATCAGACCCGATCTTGCCTTCTCCTGATCCCACAACAGGGTGGCAAACTAGAAGTCCCCCACTACACACCTACATCAAGGCAAGTGGTGCCCTGCACAAGGCTCTGATAGATAAACCTCTCATTTATGATGTTTGGAATTAGCCCACAAGAGCCTACATTCATGCTAGAGTAAGCTTCTGTGAAAATTTTGCTATGGGCCACAGTTACACTCAGATAAAATGTGCCACTTATAGGATATTTCTGGAAACATATGAGAAACTAGGAATAGGGGCTGCCTCAAGGAGGCTGAATTTTGTGACTGGGAAAAAGAAGTAGGGGAGAGATTATTGCTTCTGCACGTCCCTTATACTTTTTTGCATTGGGTACCATCTGATTATAGTAATTATTTAAAATAAATCAAATCAAATCAAATGTTTTCATGCTGCCTCTGGCCGAGAAGAAACCTTACTCTGAATTCTATCATGACAGTTCCACCCACTTAGCAATGATCTGAAAAGGGACCTGAAGTTACCTTTACATTGAGGAGCTGCAGATGACCACTGTGACAAACGGCAGGAGAGTCTGGCCTGTCCAACCAGAGTGTATCCTTCGTCACATTCATATATAAACTCATATGTGAAAAGACTGTATGCATCAACTTCTTTATGACGTCCGTGGTCAATGGTAGGAGGAAAATTGCAATCTTGATGGTGGGACATAAAAGTGAGAGAGCATGAGCTTGTAGAATATATACAATAACACACCCCAGAACCTGTGTGGTTTGTAGGCTTCATTCTGTCCTGTCATCTTCTCTGCCCACAGGATCACTTAGCCAAACCCAAGACCTGTGCTGCCCTCCTGTAAGCCTCAGGCTGAGGAATCATTGTGGCTCTCCTATTAGACCACTCGGTGGGTTGTTGGCCCAATCCCCATACTGGGTCCTTGGCCTATGGGGTAAGAGCTATCATATCCAGGAAGGCCAAGTAGAAGCCATTGATACTGCCCACACCCCTCCCCCTTGAAGCAAAGAAAGTAAATTTAAAAAATATATCATGTACCAAGGAGTAGGGGGGAAGGGGGAAATTAGCGCAACTCTTAAAGATCTAAAGATGCATGAGTGGTCATCCCCATCGTATTCCCATTTACTTCACCAGTTTGTCTACTACAAAAACTAGGATTCTGGAGAATTACAGTAGACTGTTGAAAACTCAACAAGATTTTAGCTCTTATTGCAGCTACTGCACCAGATGTGGTATCTTTGTTAGAACAGATAAATGTATCTTCCGGTAAATGAGGCCACTGATTTAGCAGAGGCCTTCTTTTCCATCTCTATCAGAAAAGGTCATGGGCTGGCCCCGTGGCTTAGTGGTTAAGTGCACGCGCTCCGCTACTGGCAGCCTGGGTTCGGATCCTGGGCGTGCACCGACGCACCGCTTCTCTGGCCATGCTGAGGCCGCGTCCCACATACAGCAACTAGAAGGATGTGCAATTATGACATACGACTATCTACTGAGGCTTTGGGGAAAAAAAATGAGGAGGATTGGCAATAGATGTTAGCTCAGAGCCAGTCTTCCTCAGCAAAAAGAGGAGGATTAGCGTGGATGTTAGCTCAGGGCTGATCTTCCTCACAAAAAAAAAAAAGAAAAGAAAAGAAAAGAAAAGAAGATCAGAAACAGTTTGCATACACATGATGTATTTGCAGGTTTAACTCCGGGCTGTGGTAACTCACCTGCCCCTGTCATAATAGAGTCTAAAGATATCATGACCATCTGGACATCCACATAATATCACACTGATCCAGTATATCAATGGCATCATGTTAATTCTACTTAATGAGCAAGAAGAAGCTAGCATGATGTGAGATCATAGGAAAAAAAAATGTATACATTGGTCTCTGCTCCGATTCCTGGCATAGAGCTCCTAAAACCCGTGTAAATTCCTAAGTGCTAAGAGGACTAGGAGTATCTTTTGTTCTCTTGAGGTGACTCTGGGTGGGCTCCTGGATGGGGGCTGGTCCCCAGAAAGAACAAGCCATCATTAGAAGCTTGGAATTTTCAATCCCACCCTCCCCCATCCTCCAGAGAGGGGAGAGGGGCTAGAAACAGAGTTAATAATTGATCATGCCTACATAAGGAAGCCTCCATAAAATCCCCATAGTACAGAATTCAGAGAGCTTCCAGGTTAGTGAAGGAGAGTGATGCAACTCTACTCCACGGGGACAGAAGCTCCTGCACTAGGGACCCCCCCATACCTCATTCTATGTATCTTTTCATCTGGATGTTTACCTGCCTCCTTTATCATATCCTTTAATAAACTGGTAAACATAAGTAAGTGTTTCCCTGAGTTCTGTGAGCTGTTCTAGCAAATTAATAGAACCTGAGAAGGGGTCGTGGGAACCTCTGATTTGTAGCCAAGTCGAACAGAAGTTGTGGGTAACTTGGGGACCTACTACTTGCGACTGGCATCTGGAGTGGGGTGGCAGTCTTGTGGGACCAAGCCCTTAACCTGCGGGATCTGATACTATCTCCAGGTAGGTAGTGTCATAATTGAGTTAAATTGTAGGACATCCAGCTGTGTTGTGGAGAATTCTTTGGTGCGGGGGGAGAAACCCCATATATTTGGTCACCAGAAAAGTTGTGAGTGTTCTGAATGAGTAGTAAAAGAGACACACAGGAGAAACAGGATGTGGAGGGAAGGACTGGGTTTTTCCAATTTGCATGATGATGCTCCAGAGTATAGAAGGTAAAGAGTCAGGCATTTGCCACATCAGTAAAATTTTTAGAGGTTCAGGGGTCAGGACTTGCTAGGCTATCCCATCCAAACTGAAGTCAAATTATTGCAAATTGCACATCCCATCACGAAGAAGAAAGCACAATGCCTTGTAGACCTTTTCAGATTCTAGATGCAGTGTATTCCATACTTGGGAATATTATTCCAATCCATATGCTAGGTGACACAGAAGACAGCCAGGTTTGAGTGGGGCCATGCTGGCAAAGGACTGAGCGGCAGATCCAGTCTGCAGTGAAAGCATCCCTGTTGCTTGGAGCTTAGGACCCTACAGAGCCTGCTGTACTGATGGTGGCTATAGTAGCAAAACGTGCAAATGCCATAGACCCTCGACATCCTGACCTACACCATGCACTGCTGCAGAAAATTAGGTGCTTTTTGAAATATGACACTTGGCGTGTTACGTGGTCCTGACAGTAACAGCTCCTGACCTTGGGTCATCAAGTGACCATGTGCCAGAATCACTCATCATGAGGTTGGTCTACCAGACTCATCAAATTGTAAGGCCAGGCAGGCAACAATCCATTATAAAATGGAAGTGGTGCATCTGGGATTGAGCATGAGCAGGACCAGATGACACAAGCAAGCTATACAAACAGGGAGCTCAGATGCTCCTTGTGCCCATCAACTGTTGGACAAGTGCCTCTTCCTTCGCTCACACTTATGGCTATATGGGGTATCCATTATAGCCAACTGGCAGAACAGAGGAAAGCCTGAGCCTGCTTCACAGAGAAGTATTTTTGGTACATGTGTGCAAGCTAAAATGGATGGAAGCTGCATGAGAGTCCAATCAGGGGTGGTCTTAAAGACAGTAGTAAGGGGAAATCTTCCTCATAGGCAGAGCTTTAGGTGGTACCTCTGGTCGTTCTCTTTGTCGGAAAAAGAAGTGGCCTAAGGATACATTAAATTAGAATTCATGGCCTGGAATGAATGGCTTGTCTGTCAGAGCCCTTGAGGACAAAGATGGGAAGATTGGGCACGAGGAGATCTGGAGTAGAAGTAGGTGACTGGACATATGGGAGTGACTGGGAAATGTGAAGTTTTTATTTGGCATGTTAAAACCAGCAGACCATCCCCAATGGAAGAGGCGTTAAATAACCAAGTAGAAAAAAACATCTCAGCCAGTGGAAGTCAGCCATCCTCTGACATTGGCCTCACCAGCACTGTCATGAGAGGAAGAGGAGCAAAGCGGCTGTGGAGGTGTAAAATATGAAACAAAACAGAGTCACTTATGTCTAAGGGCTTTAACATGGAGCTAGGAGGCTATTAAGGAAGTGGGTCTTATGCACATCCTCATCGGGGACTTTTGAGCTGAGTCAAGGCACAAATATTGAGAGATCGCTGCAAGAAATCGGCAACTCACCACGCGGATGGGACTTTTGCCTCCCTCTAGCTGTAGCCTTAGCAATCAATTGTGTTTACCCAAGATTAGCTTTCCACAGTCAACCCCAATTAACATTCTTTGTAATCAAACCTCCCCCTTTTGCCTTTAAAAGCCCCTGCCTCTTACTCCCTAGTGGGACACTATTTGGGTTGCTACCTAAATCTATGTACCCCAAATTGCATGATCCCAAATTAAATGCCTCTCTGCTTCTCATTTTGGCTCTTTACTTTTAGGTTAACAGTGGTGTGGGGGATCAGAATTGGCCACTCTGAAATGTGTCTCTTTGCCTTGCCTTGATTATTTTTGAAAACAAAAAACTCTGAAAAGACCTTCGACTTCCCCCTAACTGCCTAAAAGAATTTAAGATAGAAGGCCTGTCCCCAGGGTAGGCCATCACCATAGACAACTCTGGGTATTGATAAACTGGGAGGGTCCTTGCTAAGCCCATCCTTATCAAAGTTCTGTTTACCAAACATTTGCTTTTCCATCTCCATGTGAATTGCCTTCCTCCCCTTTGAAGTCCTAAACCACTACCCCCAACACCTTCCTTTGTCTTTAGCTAAAAGTGCTATTTCAAGTGGCAGCTTTGGCCATTCTGGCTGAATTACCCAGTTTTCCTGGGTTTCTCCCATGTATACATGTTATAAAGCTTTGTTTGATTTTCTCCTGTTATTCTGTCTCATGTCAATTTAATTCATAGACCAGCCAGAAGGACACAGAGTGGGTAGAGGAATTCTCTTCCTCCCCTACAGTGGCGTGGATGGAGGATAAGCATGGGCCCAACAGCATGGATTCCCACTTACTAGGGCTGCGGTCACTGCATCTCCATTCCGCCAGCAACAATGCCAAGTCCCTGATATGATACCATCCCTTGAGACAACCAAAAAGCCACTTGGTAACACGTTGACTATATTGGACCCTCTTCCACCTGGAAGGAAGAGATATCTGTTCTGACAGAAATAAACAACTATCCAGGTATGGGTTGGCCTTTCCTTCCTTCAGGACTTCAGTTGCACTGTTATCTGAAGGATTATAGAGTGTTTAAACAATTGACATAGGATCCCACTACATGCAACTAGAAGACTCACTCACAGCAAAAGAGATGTGGCAGTGGGACCACGGCCGTGGAATGTACTACTCATATTATAGACTGCATCACCCAGTACCTGCAGACCTGTTAGAACACTGGAGTGGCCTGTTAAAGGCATAGTTGAAGTGCCAGTTGAGAGGCAATACTTTACAATGATGGGACTTTACAATATTACTTTACATTATCTTCCAGAATGCAGTATTCACTTTAAATCAGAGATTGACCTTTATATGGTATTCAGTCCCCAGTAAAATAAAATAAAATGCATGGGTCCAAGAGATGGAAGCATGAGTGGCCCCACTTACCCTCATTCTAAGTGAGCTACTTGGGAAAATTGTGCTTCTCATCCCTGAAACTCTGGGATCTACAGATTGAAAAGTCCTGGTTGGCAAAGTGGGAACACTTCTACCAGGGGACATAAGAACAATTCCATTGATTTCTAAACTGCAACTAGTGCCTGGCCCCTTTGGGAGAATAATGGGAGAAGGGAGGGTTGTGTTTAGCATTTAAGTGCTCTTGGTGAGGGAGAGGTAGGCATTTCACATTGGGGAAAGTCTGAAGGAGGACCTGGAGGCAGCGGAAGAAAGGAAGCAAGTTCAGAAAGGCAGGTTCAAATAGATTTGGAGGGGTCTTGTACTGCAGGTTAAGGCATATGGACCAGAAGGAAGAGAAGAAAAGAGAATAAACACCAAGAAACAGAAGGCAATAATTCAAAAGTCTAGCTGATCTATTAGATGTGGCCTATTTTCACTGATTCAGAAAAGAAAAGAAAGCCAGGAAAGTCAAGACAATGGGGACAACCACTGGAGGAAAAAAGAGAACATTGTGGGGCCAGCCTCCTGGTGTAGTAGTTAAGTTTGGCACATTCCGCTTCAGCGGCCTGGGTTCACAGGTTCAGATCCTGGGCATGGACCTACACCACTTGTCAGCCATGCTGTGGTGTAAAGTAGAAGAAGATTGGCACAGATGTTAGTTCAGGGCTAATCTTCCTCAAGCAAAAAATGAGGAAGATTGGCAATAAATGTTAGCTAAGGGCTAATCTTCCTCAGCAAAATGAGGAAGATTGGGAACAGATGTTAGCTCAGGGCTAAGCTTCCTCAGCAAAAAAAAAAAAAAGAGAGAGAGAGAGAAAGTTGGGTGGGGCGCACAGGGGGGCACAGTGCACAGTGTTTTTTAACAAATTTATCCACTCCAAGAATCATGCAGGGTATATAAATTCTTTTACCTAATTTAAAACCTTCCCTTGGGGGCCAGCCTGGTGGTGCATGCCGTTAAGTGCGCGTGCTCCGCTGCGGCAGCCCAGGGTTCACCGGTTCGGATCCTGGGCGCGCACCGACCACCGCTTATCAAGCCATGCTGTGGTGGCGTCCCATATAAAGTGAAGGAAGATGGGCACGGATGTTAGCCCAGGGCCGGTCTTCCTCGGCAAAAGAGGAGGATTGGCAGATGTTAGCTCAGGGCTGATCTTCCTCACCAAAAACAAAACAAAACAAAACAAAAAAACAAAAAAAACACACTTCTCTTAATAATCTCCATCACTTTGATATGAAGAAACTTCTAAAATAAGATAATTCCATTAGCTCTTACCGTAATCACAAAAAGGTGTTTTGGGATGCCACATGCCATCTCCTTGGCAAGTAGCGGAAAACTTTTTTTTCTCAAAACATGAGTATGTAACCGTGTCTCCGTAGAAATAGCCACAGCTGTTGACCCTACTACCTTTTCTGTGTTCAAGGATTTTGCCATTCTTCAGCTCTGGTTCTGGGCAACATACCTCTAAAAAATAAAAAGGGAGGCTAATGGTTAGTAAAATCGCCCTGAGGAGGCTCCTACGGCTGACTCCCTCAGTTCCACCTTTGGAAGATCTCACCACTGAGGAGAGACTGGGGAAAGAGAAAAGGGTACTTGAGCCACTGGAGTCTGTTCTCCAGTCCCTGACATGCTAAAGACACCAACCCAGTCATCTCCCTCCAACTAAATATTTTCATTAGGAGGCTCCAAAATGAGAAGTTGGGTTAAACCTGTATGAAAATGTAAATTTTCAGAATTTTTCAAGAGCAATGACAAATAACATCCATCTCCTTACGGCTTCATTAGGGTTACATCATCATTAAGTTCTTTAATGGCTTGCACTTCCCCAGTTATAGGAGGAAGAATGTTCTCAAAAGTTTATATCTACCTGACAGCTACTGCGTAGATATAAATTTAAATTACTGCTTATGGCCAGGATTTTTCTTTTTTGGTGCCAAATTTAAGGGAAATAGCTATTCAAATTCATTCATTTTTAATGCAGTAAGAGTTGATATAGGGATATAATTTTTTATTAGTAGAAATACTTTCAGATAGAACTTGATATTGTTTGATGTAAGAGAAAACATCAGAACAGAATAAAATGCTCTATTCCCTTATCAGAAGGTTGGCCAGCACCACAGTGGGGTCTTGCAGGGATACTCAAATACTCTCAGTGCTCATCTGTTTATGAATTATCATAAAAATACTCAACATTTATATCATTTCTAAATTGTATCAATAATATTTATGTAATGCTTTGTTGTAGAAAACACTTTTAAATGTTTGTCATAAGTCCAAATTCATATTTAATCAGATTTTATGATAAGTTGGATAAATATCATTTCACTTCTACTTTTTAAATGGTTAAAAAAATATCCTTGATTAAATAATTAAGTCAATAAGACCATAATGGGTAAAATACATATAATTCAAAAATAGGTTTTTAAACATGTATAAACATTCATTTATATTAAAAAAATTAGTGTATTAATTACATGTCATTGCTTTTTATTCATTAAAGAGGATCCTCAAAGGCTTGCACTTATCAACATATTTAATTGGTGGCAATAATTTTTGTTAAATATATTTTTAATTCAGTCACTTTTTTAAAATCATTCATTCTATTTCCCCAAAATGAGTCTGAATAACTGCAATTAAACTTTAAGTCCTAAGGTGAAGTGAATAATCTTGCAATAGGTCAATCTAAACTACTATTTTTCATTATTTGTGCATTTCACATACTTTTCAAATTCTACTCTGTAGAATAAAGTTCCCTATATTCAGATCCTCAGTGTCTTTATCTCTAAAATGGCAAGGTTCTGACAGATGTGTGGAAGGAAGCATTTTCTCCCTCTGTTGTCAGTTCTACCTAGGCCCATAAAATTGCATCCACCTGTCTCTCAGCCCCTCACTTATTCTCGCAAAAAGAGAAGGGACGTCTCCTACCAGTAAGACTGCAGAAAGTCTCCTTTCTATCCTACTGAGGCAAGAACACTGGGTCAGGGGTCAGGATCTGTCTTCTAGAGGCAGGTCACAAGACCCAGGTGACGAGATCCAGCTCTTTCAGCCCGCAGTCCCATGGCTCAAGAGATCTGCGACACAAGTCACCTTGCAGCTGGTTGAGTTCAGGACTGTTTCACAGACTTTCCTTCTACCAAGGGCCCCAGAGTCTACAGTGAGGAGGAAAGGGCTGTGCTGGGAGTCTGACTCTGGCTATAGTTGAGCCGTATTCTCCATTCTACCTTTACCTGTAATGAAGCTCATACTTAATCTGCGTAATGTTTGACTTGTGTGTCTACATCTCATTTGATTCTGAACGGGGATAAGGAAAGGCTATAATTTCTCAGCTCCTCAAACTCCAAGACCTTTATGGTCCCTTCTGGCAATGAGTTCACTATTCTATTGAATTAATACAATTTTAAACTTATCTTGAGAGATAAAATTATATTCATTTAAGGTAGAAAATCCTAGTACATGCTGGACAGTGAATATATAAAAAGATTTCAAAAACAGAAACTCACCCTCACATTTTATGTATGGAGTCCACCTGAAATTTTCCTGACAAATCACAGTTGTAGGTTCATCTGAAGCAGGTTTATAGCCACGCTGGCAGTGGTACTTCAACACAGTCCCAACATCATACAGGTCCTCTTTTGTTGGCTGGTGATACCTAAATGGTTCCCAGGAGGCATGTGGGATGTCTGGTAAGTTAGTACAAGCATCTGCTCATAAACGAAGAACAAGAGAAAAGGACCCTGTTACTAGCAATGCATCGGCGCTCAATGGCCTGTCCTATCAAAGGGTGTCATGTGTTCTTCCAGCCAGGAACCAGCCTGCCACGGCTGATGAATCAGCCACACCAGAAAACACACATGAATGTCTGCCCAAATGTGTGCGGCACCAGAGAGGGTCTTACTAAGGGCGCTACCAAGTGGTTTCTGTGTGTTGTGCCAACTATCCAAAATGTTGATTCTCCTTCCTCTTCATTGTACTTCAGAAAGTTTAGTTTCTGAATTGAAGCATTAGGCTTGGTAGGTAGATACATTGGAGAACTGTTGCAGACAAATGAATGTAACTTGCTTGTTTCCTGACTGATTGGGGAAAATAAACAAGAGTCATTCCTCTTATCCAGATGACACCAGGAACTTTGTCATTTAAGGGCCTGACAAGAACAAACCAAGCACCAAGCATCTTTTGAGCCTAGACCCTGTGTCTTGTCCTCTTCACTCTTTTCTCATTCTACTGGTTCATATGTTATGGGAATATAATAAAAACATCTGCCAAGTTGGATGTTTATTACATTTTATCTTCAAACATTTAAAATGCTATATAGAGTAATATTCTTTTTTAACAGTTTTATTGAGACACAAGTCACATATCATAAAATTTACCCATTTAAAATATACAATTCAATGGTTTTTAGTATATTCACAGAGTTGTGCAACCATCACCCTATCCAACTTTACAATATTTTTACCAACCCAAAAAGAAATTCTGTACTCATTAGCAGTCGCTCCCTATTCCTACCTGCCCCCAGGCCCTGGAAAACACTAATCTACTTTCTCTCAATGTGGATTTGCCTATTCTGGACATTTCAAATAAGTGGACTTATGCAACATGTGTAACTGGCTTTTTTCACTTAGTATGATGTTTCAAGTTTCCTTCATGTGGTAGCAGGTATCAATACTTCATTCATTTCTATTTCCAAATGATAGTCCATTGCATGGATATACCACTTTTTGCTTATCTGTTTTTTAGTTGATGGGCATTTGGGTTGTTTGGCTATTAAGAATAATGCTCCTATGAACATTCACATAAGTTTTTTTTGTGTCAACAACTGTTTTAATTTCTCTTGGGTAGATACTTAGGAGGGTAATTGTTGAGGTATACATAGAGTATGGTAACTCCATGCTTAAACTTTTGAGGAACTGCCAAAACTCTTTTCCAAAATGATTACACCATTTTACATTCCCACCAGCAATGTATGAGGGTTCCATTTTTTCCACATCTCCATGTCTGATAACATTTGTTATTGTCTATCTTTCTTATTATAGCCATACTGATGGGTGTGAAGTGGTATCTTATTATTGCGAGACAACCACCTTCAAAGAAATACTAAAGGAACTTCTTCAGGCTGAAAGCAAGTGACACCAGACAGTAATTTGAATCCACACAGAAAAACAATGAGCACCAGCAAAAGTAATTATGTAGGTAATTAAAAAGGCAGTATAATTGTATATTTCTTTTTCTCTTAACTAATTTAAGCAGCAATTGCTTAAAACAATATGTATATGTGTTGCATTATTAAGGCTATAACACATAAAAATGTAATATATTTGACAATAGGAACACAAAGGAGGTAGGTGAGAACAAAACTGTATTGGAGTATGGAAATGATACCAGATGGTAACTTGAATCCACAGGAAGAAATGAAGAGAACCAGAAATGGTAAAAAGGGGGCCGGCCCGGTGGTATAGCGGTTCAGTGTGCGTGCTCCGCTTCGGCGGCCCAGGGTTCGCAGGTTTGGATCCTGGGTGCGCACAGACACACCGCTTGTCAAGCCTTGCGGTGGTGGCGTCCCATATAAAGTGGAGGAAGATAGGCACAGATGTTAGCCCAGGGCCAGTCTTCCTCAGCAAAAAGAGGAAGATTAGCAATGATGTTAGCTCAGGGCTAGTCCTCCTCAACAACAAAAAAAGAAATTGTAGAAAGAAGATTAATATAATAAACTCTATAAATATATATTTGCTCTCCTTTATTCTCTCAGCTACTTTAAGAGACATGAAACATAAAATCGTATAAAGCAATAGTTATAACAATCTATTGTTTTGTTGGATTCTTGGGTGACTTTTTGTTTCTTCACTTTGATTATGTCATCTCATTGCCCTCTGGCCTACATTGTTTCTGCTGAGAAGTGAGATGTTAATCTTACTGGGTTTTCATTGTACATGATGTGTTGCTTTTCTCTTGCTGCTTTCAACATTTTCTCTTTATCTCTGGCTTTCAACATTTTGACTATGATGTCTTCTGGTGTGGATCTTTTTGTATTTATCCTACTTTGAGTTTAGTGACCTTCTTGGATCTGTAAATTAATGTGTTTTTCAGTCAAATTTGGGAAGTTTTCATCCGTTATTTCCTGATTGGTTTCTTGATACTTTCTCTCTCTCTTCTCCTTCTGGAACACGTGTTTGTTGAGCCATCTAGTGGTGTCCCATATTTCTCTGAGGCTCTCTTCATTTTTCTTCATTCTTTTTTCTCTCTGTACTTCAGATTGCATAATCTCAATCAATCTATTTTCAAATTCACCAATTCTTTCTTCTGCCAAATCAAATCTACTGTTGAGCTCCTCTTGTGAATTTTTCAATTCACTGTTGTGCTTCTCAATTCCAGAATTTCCATTTTTTGTATGTAATTTCTATCTTTATTGATATTCCCTATTTAATGAGACATTGTTATAATACCATTCTGTAATTCTTTATATACTGTTTTCTTTTGTTCTTTAAACATATTTATAATAGCTGCTTTGAACTTCTTTTCTGCTAAGTCTAACATCTGGGCCCCTTCAAAAGGCAATTTCTATTATCAGGTTTTCCTCTTTGTATGGATCGTTCCTTCCTGTTTCTTTGCATGTCTGATAATTTTTTGTTGAAAACTGGACATGTTAGATAGTATATTGTAGTAACTTAGGGTATTGATTCCCCTTCCTCACCTCTAGGGCCAGTTGTTGTTGTTGTTTCCTTGTTTGCTTGTTTATTTCTTTAGTGACTTGACTGAACTAGTGCTGTTAAGTCTATTTCCCCCAAATTGTGCAGCCTGTAATGGTGCTCCCAAGAGAGCACAGCCTTGGGCGTGCACACAGTCTTTCTACTACCAGGGATGACTATGGTTTTTTCTTTGTCTCTTTCCCATTAAGCTTTTGGTTGGTCTGCCTCTATTGGTGTTACTTACAGCTGTTAGTCTCCATTAATTGTTAGCTGATTGCTCTATTGTTTTTGACAACTCCCTGGGGCATAAATGGTTTCACAGTCTGATCCAATTAAAGTCAGGTCCCTTGGCAGGGGCAGGGCATTGGTAGTCTTTGAGGCTTGCTCCAAATCTCCCCTGGCAGAACTTTTGTGCTATGGATCAGGAGCTGGGGGAAACTGGGGAACTAATTCTTCACCAGCTGCCCCACCAGAATCCTTCCTATGGTATAGGAGCTGTGGGAAGGAGATAAGGGGGGGGGGTAGGAACTGGTACTGCCACCAGGCTATGCCCACCACCAAAATAGATATTTCACAGCCTAGAGCCAGGAAGAATGAGATTTGCCAATGTTCACTGGCTGTCAAATTTACCCACAATAGTTCTTCCACTTTAGGAAGCTGGGGAAGATGGGAGGTGCCACTTGGCTGCTGAGCTCACCAGAGCAGCCCTACTGCAACAGAGGGCTATGCAGGAAAGGACTGAATTCTTTAACAGATGTCCTACTTGGATCTTCCTTGTGTAATGGGAGTTGGGGTGGAGGAACAGACACTAATGTCTGGCTGCTACCACCTGAAGCATGGAGCTATGGCAAATGCTATTGCAAGATGTTCACTGGCTGCCAAATCCACTCCAAATAGCTCTTCACCCCAGGAAGCTGGGGGAGATGGGAATTGCCACTTGTGAGCCCACTGAAACAGTTCTCCCATACGGCTATTGGGGGCCGAGTACAGATCCTAGCTCTAATGTAATGGCCTCCCATGGTTTGCTCCAAGTCTCCATAGATTTTTTTGAATAACTGCTTATCAATTTCTTGTAAGTCCTTTGATCAATCTGGAGACTTTGAATGGTTTTCTTTGCTAATTTTGACCAGTTTAATAGATATCTCTCCAGGAGAGAGATTTCCCCAAGCTTTTTGCACCCCTATTCCAGAAGTCCCCTGGGTAAGGTTCTTGACATTTCATGAGGGTAGAAGTAAGAGCAAAAGGCATTAGTGGCTTCCTCCCATTTCCAGTTGTACGACCTTGTGCAAGTCACTTAACCTCTGTGAATGGGTTCTTAATCTATAAAATGAGGATAATAATAGTGCCTACAATTCTTGGAAGGATTCATTGAGTTAATTCTTGTTAGGTACCTAGACTAGCGCCAAGCTATCATTGTTACTATTAACATTATTTTTAATGATCTGCGTGAGTTTATAATTTCTGAGTGTTAGAATCATAGTTAGTCCATACAATACTTTTGTGCAAGTTAGAAAAAGACATTTTTTCCTCAGGACACTTTGCTATTTATCTTTCAAAATAATTATTGTAATATAATGATTTTGTTAGAACAAAATTTTCTATCAACTGTAGGAAAATTGTTGAAATAAATAGACTAATCCACAATGTCTACAACGTTAATGTCTCCTCTTAGGGATGGAGTGTGAACAATCTGCACGACTGTATGGAGTAGCCTTTCGTGATGTTATGTGACCTTGCACAACATATTGTATTGTTTTCTTTTCTTTTTTTTTTTAATATGAGGAGGACTAGCCCTGAGCTAACATCTGATACCAATCCTCCCCTTTTTTCTTGAGGAAGACTGGCCCTGGGCTAGCATCCGTGCCCATCTTCCTCTACTTTATATGGGACGCCACCACAGCAGGGCTTAACAAGCGGTGTGTCGGTGCATGCCTGGGCTCCGAACCTGTGAACCCTGGGCCGCCACAGGGGAGCGTGCTCACTTAACCACTGCACCACTGGTCTGGCCCTGCACAGTATAATGTAATTAGTCTTTTTTCCAAGAAAAAAAATAAAAGAAATTACTGATCTAAATTTAAGATTTACTGTGATTCAAGTGGGCTTAGGCCTACAAGTATCCCCCCCCAACATTTCTGGGTATCTTTAGATGCCAAATATGGAAACTACTTCAGTCCATACTCACTGAGCTCACAAATGGGAGGAGGAGGATCCCAGTTGTTATCAGCTTCACAGTGGATTAAACTGCTGCCGTTGAGGATATAGCCTTTCTTGCAATCAAACACAATAGAGTCTTTGTAAGAATAGAGGGGTCCAAATCCAGAGACAAAGATTCCATTTGGAACCTGTGGCTGACGACAGACAATGTCTAAAGAAGCATAAGAAAAGACATCTCAGTTACAAAAGAGAAATGGCAATAAGGATGTGACTGCTATTGTTGGTATGGTTCCAAGGAAGACCTACTACAAGTACATACATATCAAAGAGATACAAAGAAAACACTTTAGAGCTTAATATATATCCTTTCAGTTCCTAGGAACCTCAGCAAATTGAGGTCCCATCATGCTAGTTGTTGTGGATAAAGTCCTACAACTTTCTTGTCAAAAAAACCCTAGCAACATAGATGCAGAGAACAGATTGGTGGTTGCCAGAGGCGGGGCTTAGGGGATGAGTGGAATGGGTGAAGGTGGTCAGAAGGTACAAATTTCTAGTCATAAAACAAATAAGTCACGGGGATGTAAAGTACTGCATGGTGACTACGGTTAATAATACTGTATTGTCTATTTGAAAGTTGCTAAGAGAGATCTTAAAAGCTCTTATCACAAGAAAAAAAATTTTGTAACTATGTATGGTGATGGATGTTAACTAGACTTATTGTGGTGTTCATTTTGCAATATATACAAATATTGAATCATTATGTTGTACACCTGAAACTAATATAATGTTATATGTCAATTGTATCTCAATTTAAAAAACCCCTAACAATATCTAACCCCCAAAGCCTGAATCCCAAAGTCCAATCTTCCCCTTATAATGGTCTACTTTCCTGGGTGATTTTAGTGTTGGGTCAGCGGCCAGTGGTAATGATGTGGTGTTCATGATGAAGAGGCAGCCAAGACATCAGAGCTCTGTGCCCTCACAAGCAAAGAACAAACTGCCCCTCCCCCAGCTTTCAGTCATCAAGTCCTGTGAGTCCTACACTTTAATTCCTTTTCAATCCCTCAACTTCTCTCCAGGCCCACTGCCATGACTGTAGTTGGAGCCACCTTCACTACCTGGCCGGATGGCTGCAGTAGGTGCCTGTGGGTGAAGCTTTGTCCCACCTCAAATTGTTGTCCGTGCTGCAGCCAGAATTCTCTTTCTAAAACGTAGCACATTTACTTCCCTGGTTAAAGCCTTTCAATGTCTCCCCTCACCTTCGTTTTGAACTCCTGAGAATGACACACGAGGCCCTTCATAACCTGGCCCTGCTAACTTTCCAGCCTCAGTCTCTGCCATTTCCACCTCTCGCAGTCTAGAGTCCAGGCATTTTGAACTGTTTGCAGTATCATGCTCTCTCAACTCCTGATTAGACTGTGTCCTGTGGTGAGTCAGAATAGTAAGTGATACTCTGTAGGCACTTAGTAGCAAAAGAAGATACTGTAGATTAGCAAACTAACAATATCACAATATTTCTTGTAGCTCAATTACTGCTTGCTTTGTCCTGTTGACCTTTTGGTGTTTAGTTGGTTCTGCTTGCCCTGTAGGCAATATGTGGTTGACATTACAATTGCTAACCAATATTTCCAGTTCTACTTCCTGAACAGACAAAAGATGATATTCCCCAGTTCCCTTAGAGTTAGGGTCTATACCTTACTACTTTTGGACAAAAGGCTGCAATGTAAAGTGATATGTGGTCACTTCCAGGCCAAAGTTCTTAAAAGCCAGGGCAGTTTGCTTTTCTTTCTTCCTCTACTGAAGAGATTGTGAAAGCACGGATACAGAGATGCCACAAGATCAAAGCAACCTGCATTGCTGAGCTGGTTGCTAAACTAACACCTAGACTACAGCTGCCCTAGAGAGTCTCCTGGGCATGCAGCAGACTCAGTATGAATGAGAATCAACTTTTACTTGGCAAAGCCAATGAGATATTGGTGCTGCTTGTTACTATATGCTGGTACAGCATACATAAGTATCAGTTGACCAAATAAATGACCACGTCACTGCAATAATTAATTTGTCTTTGAATCATTCCATTTCCCCCAATAAATATACCTTCCTTTTTCTTTTAAACAAACAACTCAAACCAGAATTCATCATTGTGACTTACTTTTACAAGTGGGAGGGCTTGGCCTCCAGACGCCTATTGTTTTATTCTCCACTGTGCAGGAAATGGAGGCTTTGCCTATCATTGAGAAGTCAG